TGCATCATATTTTCCTTAAACATGATACTCGCAGCAGGTGCGTGCTGAATTACCCTCGCTGCCCCATGACATCCCAGAAGAGATGATGAACATTTCACATTTCACCCCTCATGCCTTGATGTAAATCTGATTATGCCACTACCAGTATTCTAGGCCATTAGACCACCTCACATGCCATTGTGCCATATAGCGAGCTCTCTGCGTCATCACTCACCCACCTAGCACGCTCACACAGTGAACATAAAAGTATCTCCTTTATACCTTCTCAACGCTTTCCCCCGCAGCAGCAGGACACATTTATGTAGCTCTTTGAGCTGCTGTTCCTAAATTGCATCTTTGTCAGGGCAATTCTAAGGTCTGTGGAAGGCCCTTGACCAAGCGCACAGCCTTACATTGTTATCAGCTTGACAAGAGAGTGATTCATGTGCAACAACCTTCAATGTTTGAGATTTTGCTCCTGTGGATATTATTTGGAGAGCAATTCAAGTAAGTTACTCTGGGAGCACTGAAGTCTCTTTTCTAATGGGTTTGTGCTGAGTGTTTGTGGTGGCTGCTGTAGCACCAGCCTTTTTAGAGAAAGAAATACAGAATAACGCTGTCAGGAGAATAGTGTTGTAATCATGTAAAATAACATCTGGAGACTGTGGGATGGGCACAGATAGATGTATGGATTATATCTTGCAATGCTTTTTCAACCAGTGGCAGCCTTGGCAGTAGAATTTGCACCCACGAGCTCTTTGCAGAAGCATGAGAGGATGGATTATATCTTGCAATGCTTTTTCAGCCTGTGGCAGCCTTGGCAGTAGAATTTGTACCCACGAGCTCTTTGCAGAAGCATGAGAGGTATTCTGCTTTGGCGACAGTGGGAGACTCAAGCATACAGCTCCCATCTTCTAACTAGGAAAATCCAGAGATGTACTTGGCCATGGGAACTAAGAGGCAAGCGTAAAAACAGCTCTAAAGCATGTGCGCTGAGTCTGACAGAATGCTGGATGTTTGATCAAATTCCTCTTTTTTCATGTGGACACAATTTGTAGTTGGAAAAACACTATAGTTAAAACAAACAAACAAACAAGCAAAACACCCCAAAACTGGTCAGTAAAAGTCTTATTTAGGCAGCAAATCCTGGTAGCTCACTGTGGAGGAGTACTGGAAAATGATTACCCTTTATCTACAGACTCGCGGTTTAAAGATATGAAACTCTTGAACTCTATCCAGGAGCTGAAGGAATGCCATCGTGATTTTGTCTCTGTTTCAGTGTCATTGAAAGCAAGATGAGAAAATGGCTAACAGCACCTTTACAAGGAGTGAAAGGGCTAGTTAGACAAGTTTTTCATAACACTTAACAAGCTAAAGCATTTACTCTTGGTGTAAATCTACACATAATAAAATAAATTCTCCTTAAAGATTTGTGTCAAGTTTTATGACAACCATGCAACTGCAATGGCAGTACCTTAGGTGTCTCACAGAACTTCCTCTAAGAAAACATTCTTCATATGTGATTTTTTTTTAATGCCCTGAATGGGTCATGTTTCCAAACAAAATTAGGATTAGTAAATCAATTAAAAACCCAAATTTATTACAACAGGGATTCAAGAGCTGGTACTCTATGTTAAACTAGGCTTCATAAAATATTAAAGTAATTAATTTTTTCTTCATCTTTCATAGAAAGCTGGATAGTAAAATATCCTAAAGGACTCTGTTCTACTTATTGTATTACTTTGAGTTGTGCTTTTGACAGGCACCGCACTGTTCATTTATGACAGTTACTAGGAAACCTAAGGACTAATAATTTGCTTTTCAGGTATAATTGTCAGCTAAGTTTTGGGTTTGCTTCAGAGTTGGTCCTGATGCAATCTGTTATGTTGTTACCTAAACAGACTAAATAACATCTGTGTCTTGTTTGCAGGTAAATAAATATCTTTCAACTGTAAGAGGAACTTAAAGATTAATTTAAAACTTGAAAACATTAAGTTTTTCTGATGACTTTGTTACACCTGCTCTGTTACATTTTTTTAAACAATGCAGCAGCTCTTTGGAAATGTGAATTGTGAGCATTAAATAAACCTCATGAAGTTCAACATGAAATTTTAGGTCTTCTGGATCTGGAGAACAGAAATAATAAACAGAATGAAAGGTTTCCTTAAAATAAATGTAGGTTAGAGCTGAAGTTAAAGATGATATTTCAAAAGTGGTAACTGATGGAACAACCTTTTCAAACAGTGTCAAACCTGTTCTCCAATTCATTAAATAAGTGTGGAACCGTTGTTCTTAGGTCTACCAAGGGAAACAAAATTATAACTACCCTTTGGCTCTGAAGAGTGCTAGAAGTTAAAATATTTCTGCATGTTGTTGCAAATACCACAGTTGTGAGCACAGGTAGGATGTATGCAGAGTTTCTATGGCCACACTGTCGTGCCAATGCAAATATGAAGTTTGCATAAGAAATTATATTTGAATGTGTCTGTTTTATTGCATCTACTATTAGCTGCCTACCTGGACAACTGAATCCCCAGTTTTCTCTACTGAAACTGATAGCCAGAGTGACAAACATAATTTGAACTACTTAGTTTGAAGTAGGTAGTGACCACCAAACATCTGTCTGATTCAAAAAGTTTCTGCCACTAGAGTTTGTGTTGTAGCTTGATAACCATTAGTAGGATGAAGTCTGTTAGTTCAGTTTGAGAGCCAGCCTAAGGTTTTGACTCCCAAAACAAGCTGTGTATTGTCCTCGTGATTTCTTTTCACCACTGCAAGTGGCAGTGAAGCTAGAACAGTAGCAATCTGCCTGTCCCTCTTTGCCTCTGATCTGTGCAGTAACTTCAATAGGTGTTAAAAGGAAAGGCCATTCAAGTTTTATTTGTTTTAGTCAACTGTAAAAGCATTTTTTTTGGGACAAATTGCCTCTTAGGCCATTGATTGTGCAATTCTCAAGGTGCATTAACGTGACGTATATATCTATCTCATGAGGAGTAATCTAATACTTTGAGTGTGCCCCAGACATGTTTTCCAGCTCAAAGGTACGCACATTCAGGGAAACAACGACAGAGCTCTTACACGGGTTAGAGTCCAACAGGGCTTGGCTTTATGAGGTCACGCAAAGTACTGCAGAATCCCTTTGCACCTCTGTTTGTTCAGTAGCATTACTTAGTCATGAAGAGTGATATCTTTTTTCCCTATTGCTAGAGTAAGTGGTCCCCACCAAGCCTGCCTAGCCTTGAAAGAGACTGGGTAAATCTGAAGCAAATCAATGGATGTGTTTTAGTAATCTAGTAAGGTTTTAGTTAGTGCTTTTGCATTTCAAGCTGCCTGAAGCATGAGTATTTTACTTTCAAATGCCTAGCTGAACCATTTGAAGAAGGCTTTATCAGCAGTGGTATTAATTTATTAATCTCAAAAAGGACATCCTAAAAAATGCAGAGAATGACAAAGTCCCCTTACAGTGGAGGCAACAGTATAAATGTAGTTCATTATATAAAGGGCTAACGGGGTCTGGCTGGTTCCAGGACTGTTGTGTGATACATAAAACCCAGGTAACCAGACACAGGCAGAGCAAACTTCCCAGCAGGAGTGATACAAGTGACTCTCTAGTCTTTGTATCTTCCTCTAGAAAGCAGACTTGAGATGCTTCAAGCTTCTGGCACTAGGCAGCAGAGGAGAGATTTCCATCTCCTCCAGTCTCTTGGAGAGCTTTTTACCAAAATACCAGAAATATATATTTTTTTGCCAAAAACCCATGTTTTCTGGAGCATTTACTCTGGAGGCTACCCTCTAGACACACCATGATGTCTTCAGCTGGCCAGTACCATGCTAGACAAGTACATTTCCTGGGGAAACCTGGGATTAATGTTACTGATTGTGTGTGTAAAGTGGCAGGTAGCTCCTGAGGTAGAGGGGTCTCCAAGCATAAGATATTTTTCTTCTTTCTAGCCGTTACTGATTTCATCCTTACCCTAATGTATGTACAGGGAGATACTGGACAAACACATGTGCTGGCATTGGCGCCAATAGTTGCCTGCACTTTACTAGCCTCAGGTCGTGTGCTGCTTATGGCTGGCCATACTCCGTTTCCTCTAGACATCACTCCTTATTGTCCTTCTGTTGATGTGCTTTTGCTTGATGTAGCTGTGTGGTTACAGACCCTTGTGATGCATGGACCCAGAAAGGAATAGTAGGCACTAGTCCTCTTCTACTTGGAGAAACTGCTCAAACCTCTGGAAGAACTACCCTGAAAACTTTGTTCATAAGAGCATTAAAGACAACATTTTCTTGAGAATATGGGACAACTGATGCATAAAAAATTTGAGTGATTTAAGCAATTTTATTTTAAAATCTAATTGGTTATTTGTCCAAAAGTGAATTGGCTACATTCAGGTTTCTATGAAATAAATTAGGCATCTTCAAGATATACATCTTCAAGTTACCTAGGAACATTAAACTAATATTAGAAATGAAAAGTCCAAGATACAGTATAAATATTTTACTCTAATTTACTTTCATATTTTCAGACTTCTGACATCATCCTGTTGCCTGTTTTTGCAATGTATTAAAGAAAGGAAGTCTAATGACCTATTTTGTTTCTTTTATTAAAAAAACCAAACAAACCAGAAATGCAACGTAGCCTTGGGAAACACAATCCTCTTTTACTGACTGTTGTTAGTTATTATTAGAAGAGGTAACCTTTTTTTGTTTGCCTTCTGGGGCATTTTTAATCTTTTTATTCAGATTTGTAGGTGTAAAAATGACAAAAGCAACTAAGATGAAGTTTAAAATTAGCTGAAAAAATAATAGTCCAAAGGATGTTTAGGACTTTCAAGCTTATCAACACAGCACAATATTGAAGTATGGAGAAATGACCATCAGAGGTTGGTTTTTTTTTTGTTTTTTTTTGTGTACACAGAGGCATAAACAGGAATACACAAGGAATACAATTTTTTCTTTCATGTGTGCTTTGTTGAACAGTTTGTAAACACTAACTCTCCACCTTTCTTGTCTTTTAGCCATATAATCAATGAGCTGATAGAAACAGAACGGGTTTATGTAGAAGAACTTCAAAGCATAATAGAGGTAAGAAACTTCTGAAATGACTTCTGGTGCTGAACCTCTAAGTCAAAGCCTGAACAGTTGGTAAACACTGTAACTCTCCACCTTTCTTGTCTTTTAGCCATATAATCAATGAGCTGATAGAAACAGAACGGGTTTATGTAGAAGAACTTCAAAGCATAATAGAGGTAAGAAACTCTTCTGAAATGACTTCTGGTGCTGAACCTCTAAGTCAAAGCCATCACTGCGGGTGCACATCCTTCATGGGATGAGCACTCTCCCCTCCCACCTTGTGTTTAGAGTACAGAGGCTCTGTTAGGAAGATAGCTCAGCCTTGGCGATGGAAAACGCGAAGGATGTTTTGAACATCTTTCCTCAGGGCTTCAAGGAAGAGGCACTTTTTCTGACCCCAGCCCACAGAGTGATAAAGTTGTGTGGTTCTCAAATTTACGGACAGAGGAATAGTTAATAATGTGCCTTTTGAAAATATCATCATAGGCTTCAGAAACGGCACCCTTGATTTCCATGGGGCCAGACACTAAATTCCTGTGAATGTAGGTTTGGAAAATGATTGAGAAAAAGGAAAGCCCTCTTCCCCCTCTTATTTATTGTCCCATGTACTGTCTGAACACAGAAAAGAGCAGCTCACACTGCAAATATAACTCTTGAGCTTTTGAGACTCCTAGGATACCAGCACACTCCGTGTATGTGGTGTGAGGTCCCCAGTCTGTGGGAGGGTGGAGGCTGAGTAGGGCTCAGTCACGCTTGTATTTGGGTGGGACTTGGAGGACTGAGTGATTTCTTTTATAACCATGCGGTTGCTTCTTTATTGGATTTGATCTGTGGGAGCGGACAGCACTGATAAGTGTTATATTACTCGAGTTTAAAATCTGTACTTGGAGTGTTCTCCTCTCACAGTTTTTATTGAAGAAACACAATCCAGTTTCTACAAGAAATAACCAAATATTAAAGCCAGCTACCACAGTTCAAAATATGAATCCAAACTAACACTTTTGCAATGAAGCAGTGTTGCAGAAAGATATGTGTCTATCAAACTTAGCAGTTTCCATCCCTACATGACCAAAATGGCCTTTGAATCCTAGGAACATCATTTCGTCTTTTTTTGTTGATCCAGAAAACTGCCCATTTCTGGTTAAAAATGTGCTTGCATAGCTATTAAGGCTAAAAGCTCTGGGCAAAATTAGAAGCATCAGAAATTTATGGGAGCAACCAAGAAGCAGGCATAAGAGAAGCCTTTGTATGCTCTGTTGAGAACATAAAGCACATAGACTTTGGGGCTTTTCAGTGTCTCAGACATAGTATTCTTCCCAGGTAAAAACAAGCTGGTTTTATTTTCCACTCTTCTCTTCAGGGGTACGCTTCAGAAATGGACAATCCCAGTTTAGTACATCTGATTCCATCTGCACTTCAGAACAAGAAGGAAATTCTTTTTGGAAACCTCCCAGAAATCTATGAATTCCACAACAGGTACATGGGAACTGGCAGTTGTCCTGCACCCTTGAGTGCTACTGTCATTTCTACTTTCTTTATGTGGGGTGCTTTGTCATACTCGCACATATGCAGACAGGAAAAGTCATCCTCACTTTGCTTCTGTGTGTGTCCTATAAAATCCATGTATGGAGAACACCTCTGAGATCATCTATTTCATCCTTTTTTGTGAAAGATTATACCCTTTTGTGCATTTACTAGTGATTTCTCCTGGCATTATCCATTGTGAATGTCCCTCATGGTGAGTATTTTATGACCTCTCTTGGTAGATGTGACAGGACTAAATCCTGATGTTCTTTCTCTGGCAAAACTCCTCTGTGAGGAAGTTTTCTTAGTGTTCAGCTTATTTATCCTGTATTTCTGCTATGACATCAGAAGACATTATATATTTGATAGCACTTTGCTTAAGGAATTTTATCCTTCACATGATCATGAATCTTTCCAGAAGCCTTGTCCACACTATGGAAAAGGTGATCTAGTGCCCATAAATACAGAATACCAATTATGAACAAGATTAACCTCTTTTCAGTCCTCTTTCAAAACACAGAGCTTAGGGCTACTTCTGTAAAGTCCCTGCTTTTCCAAGCCTTGATTAAGTAAAACTGGCTGTAGCTGAAGTGAGAATTTAGGAATTCTTTTGGATAATAATTGCCCATAATATGTAACAAACAGTTTAACAAAATAAATTTTAAAAATTCCTCTTTTGCAAGTTTAAATATTATGCCAGAGTAGTTGATACATAGTAGAAAAATTATTTTCCAGTTTATGTATTATTTTGAAAGACTGTGTCTTCCACTTGGAGAATGACACTCCCCTCCCTTTGCAATCCTGGTCTTCTTT